TCTGCTGCTCTAGCAGGGTCGGGGGCCGCTCCACGCGAAGGGACATGCCGCTGCTTCTGGGAGCTGCTTGAGGTAAGCGCCACTCGGAGCCTGCACCCCTGAGCCTCTCCCCAAGCCCCAGACCCCCTCCCCAGATCCCCCTCCTACTCGCCAACCCCCTCAATCCCAGCCCGGAGCACCCTCCTGCATCCCAAACCTCTCATCCACAGCCCCACCCCCGAACCCGCACCCCCAACCAGAGCCCTCACCCCCTCCCACACCTGAACCACAATTTTATGAGCATTCATGGCCCACCATACAATTTCTATTCCCCGATGTGGTGCTCAGGCCAAAGAGTTTGCCCACCCCCATGCTAGAGGGACCCAAGAGCTTCCTTTTTTTAGCCAATGCAAAGAGATTGAGCATATGGTGAGGCAGGAACTGTGGATATTAGGGAGGTCTGACAGAGGTTCCGGAACATTCATCTCTTATGCGCATCCATCCTTGCTTCAGCTAGGTGTTTTTCCACAGAGAACTCTAGCCGCTACCCCACATTGATTGAGAGCATTTCCGGCCTCCAGAGCCCAGCTAGCTTGTCTTTAGAGGATAAAGAATAATTTCTTCTTTGTAGGTAGGGATTATGGAAAGTTTTTTTCCCTAATTCTCCTTCTCCCCTCAGTCCCATAACCTCGGTCTGCACACACACAGTCACGAGTCTGCACTGGGAGGCCACTGCTGTTCCTGACCCATTGAGTCTATGTTCCATTGTAAAGAGTGTGATGTGGAGTATCTCAACTGAGTGAAATCATGGCAGCTATGTGCATTTCCACTCCCTGAGGATCTGCCCCCAAAACTTTCTTACAGGTCTAGCAGTTTGGCTCATGAGGGGATACCATAGGCCTATTAAATGAATGCACACAAGCCACCCAATTGGTAGTGGGCTGTGGTACAAATAAGTGAGCGCTAGGTGACTGCTGAAAAGGTTCTGAATTTTCTACGATAAATGTGGATGCTGTGCTTTTATATTTTAAATGATCTGTGAATAGGTTTGCTGGGTATCCAGTTGGTGGCGCAGCAGGGCTAAGGCATGCTCCTTACCTGGCTCCGTGCAACTCCCGGGAAGCTGCCTGCATGTCTTTCCAGACTGGGGGCAGCCACAGTGGCTCTGCACGCTGCCCCCACCCATAGCGCTCGGGCGGAGCCGAACGTGTCCGGGAAAATGGCGGCTCTGCTCCTCACCGACTCTTCGGCTCTTAAACAGAGCCGAAGAGTCAGGGGAGGAGCAGAGCCTCC